CCCGCCGCTGCTGCTCGCCGCCCGCCCCCCCGTCCCCGCCTCCTCGGATATCGTCGACCGTCGACACCGCAGCCGGAACTGGACGTCGCTCTGCCGCTTGGTCAGCTCCGAGGCGTCCGAGAGGTCGTGCTGCCGGTGCTTCTGCAACAGAAACAAATCCACAATTCTTAGATATTTACAAGGGAAACACATCCGCGGATCCAGCAACTTGGCAACACCGGATTTCCTCCATTTTAACCTATGGAAATATGCAAGGTTATTCAAAAATCACCATAGAGTACATAGAGTCGTAATGTAAATGGGAGAGCTGGCGCCATGTTCTGCTCGACGAATTCCGAGCCCGGTGTGCGCCGAGTTCGGGTCACTTTTTCTATACATATTCGATCCAAAATGGCGGTGTGGAATATGGCCGGGTCCCCGTGTATCGCAAACAATCGATTATGTATCGAAAAAGAGACCCGGCGTCACATAGGAGTCTCGGAATTCGGGACATGGAAAATGCTTAATAGTGGCGCCAGCTCTCCCAATTACATTACGACTCTATGTACTCTATGAAAATCACGCACCACTACTGGTCATGAGGGGGGTGGCCATTTGAAATTTTTGAGTTGCCCCCCACCCCCCCTCTCCCCGAGGGAATCAAAAACTGGAAAGTACCCAAAAAAGTGTCCCCCTCGATATGAGGAAAAACGTCTTAAACCGCAAATCGATATCATAATTCGATATCATAATTAGAACTAAAGTTATGGCCAGTGGTGCGTGACTTTTGAATAACCCTGTATCTGTCGCAGGCAAATTATGAAATCAGGCATTTTGTCAAATGCCTGGGCAGATAGTTAAATTTTGACCGACTACATAATTTTGTCAACTTATGGCGGAGAGCTTACGAGCTTTTAATATTTTTTTGGAAAAATAACTCATCAACCCTACGAACTCTTTTCATCTCTTTCTTTTCAATTTCTTCTCATATTTTTAAATGTTGATATTCTAAAAATTCTGTATTTTATGACATGCTGGAAATTTCGAGATGAGTATCTGATTAGGAGCTGAAAATCGTTTAAAATACTTTTGTGTGATGCAAATTTTTACTAAAATTTTTTCGTACAGGAGCAATCAATTATTTTGTCTAAAATGAGGAAAATAATCAAAATTTCAATCTCAGTCAGAATATTTGACTATTTGCCTTGGCATTTGACAAAATGCCTGATTTTACCATTTGCCTGCGACATATCGATTCCTGGAGGGGCCAGGTGCTTCGACAAGAATCGATTATTTAGCATATGCTTAAATGGAGGAAATCCGGTGTTCCGGTGGGGGAATTAGGCAACATTGAAATGTAGGTGCGTTCTTTTGTGAGGAAAACGAAGTCTCCAGGCCCCTTTCAGATCAAATGATAACCATGTGCTGCTTTTGCATGCCTTACATTAGAGAAACGAAGCAATAGTTACATGAATGTTAATGTTACCTACAAGAATAAATAATTACAAAAAATCCAAGTTTGAGAAGGTGCAGAGAACAAAGTTTTTTTACAATCAATGGAGTAAGTGAATGAGGGAACAGGAGCAACTGCATCAATCGCCATGTAAGTTTTAAGACAGAGGGTCGTATTCATTGTGGTTCCATGAGTGGAGCCTTTAATTTGGAGGTTTACATAATGCAAAGGCGTGGCGTACTTTGTGATAAATCGATTTATCTGCCATTTAAATCCATGGAAAAGGATCGATATACAAATGTTTGCAACAAACGCCTTAAAAAGCAATTATTTGCCCTAGTTTCAAATGCGGAATCATCGATAATCTATCATTAATGCCTCGCCACTGACATTGTTATTGACGGAGTTAAAGAAGATCCCTAACTCAACATCATAAAAAAGACAATCTCACAAATTTCAAGTACATTATAACAGTAATACTTCGAAAATAGACCCTTCCGAGGGATGATAATGATTTGCCTTATTAAAAAAACAGGGGAGAAATTTCGCAAGTTTTATAGGATGTGTTCATACCTACCTTGAAGTTTGCCAAAACTCATAGAATCTTTTCTCTCAAATCCATATCGACAGTGAACCTACCAGACCATGTATCTCGGTTTGCAACGTCGCAGACTTCCTGTCATAATTTTTTTTTTTTTTTTTTTTTTTTTTTTTTTTTTTGATGGAAAACTACTCAACGTCAATTCTTGAAAACTTCCGTGATTTTTCTTCTTTGAGTGACGAAAAAGCTATGAAAACTTCAAGGTATGATATTGCTTTGTTTTCCTTTACATGCAAAACTAAAATGGGAGCAGAGAGTTTTAAACACTGCAAACGAGATACTCGGTCTGCTAGTTTCACCGTCGATATCTTATTCTTCGCAGTGACAAATACTTTTTATTCCTGCAGGGATCTATTTCCGAAGTTAATCTGTTGAATTTTACTTGGCAATTCTTTAAAATTGTCATTTTCATGATGCTTAATTACGTATCTCCTTATACCTCCCACAATCACAATTTAAATCATATGGATCCTCCTGCGGGAAAACATGTTTAAACGGCTCCTAAGAATACGGCCCTAAAGTAACTCCGCTAAGTAAACAGATTGGTTGACGGACGAGTCAGTAAATCCAAAATCATAAGTAGAATGATGAATATTTGCGGTTAGATACACAAATCAACTGGCACAAGTTGTTAATTAACTAGTTAAACGTCAAAAAACGTGAGATAAGCGCACAGCATACCCGTCTAATAGTTGCAAGAAGCGAAGGGGCATCAAGCAACTATTTTAACCTCCCGGAGCGCAAATTGCCTACCCGACCAATTGAAGGAAAACTGCTGAGCGAATCAAAGTATGATGTATTACGCAGGCGAAGAGAGATGAAATGAGGTATATAGGGAGGAGCTACTCTTCCCGCCAGTAATACTTTTCAAAATGTTAAGATAAAATATTCTTTTTTGTACTCTCTCTGAACTTAAAATATAAATACAATAAATATTCTTGGGAAACTTGGGCAAAAATAAACTAGATTGAACCAGAGACTTTTCGGCCGACCACTCGACCGTTTTCAATCGAAAAAATATATAAATGTAAGACAATAGACGAAAATGAAAATTAATAAAAGCTTTCTATAATTTTACATTTTTTCCATTTTTCCGACCGAGAATGGCCGGGTGGTTTGACGAAACTTTTTGGGTTTGATGCCATTTTTATTAATACCTATTATTCTTGTATTCCTTCATTTTTCTTGCCGTTTTCCCCGCATTTTTAGTGTTTTACTTATAGTGTTTCAATTTTTAGTGCCAAAAAGTGTCCATGGACTTGGCATTTCATGTACCTCTAGATAAAACTGACTCTAACATTGGTGCGAATCCGAATCTTAGAATTGGATCAAATTCTACGGATTCTCGGATTTCTTCGGATTTTCGAGTTTCATTCGGGAATGTAAATTGTAAATTGCAGTGAAAACTTCTTGAGAATTTTAAGTGAAATCATCCTTCTAATAGGTACTAAATGCGCTTCTTAATACATCAAACTGATTCTTGAAATTGATAGACAAAGCGATGGACAAAGAATACATAAGGGGTACGGAGCGATCCCATTGGTTAAAATGGGTCGTTCTTATAGACTAAGGGAGAAAATGAAAGACTAACTAAAGGGTCTCTCACGGGTTCCTGTCAGTAAGTATATTCCCTACCTCCTTTGTCCATCGCAACCACCCGGCTTCCACCAATAGGATCCCTCCATGTCCTTTTTGTCTATCGCTCTGTCTATCAAATTCAACAATCAGCCTACAGAGCTCAACACAATAGATACCTCACGCACAGAAGAAACTGAATTACTTGTTCCCGAGAAATACAAGCCTGTCCGAGTCCAACACACTAACAGTCAGAGTCAGAGAGAAAGTAAATGATGAGAAAAAAATCGTTAATGTGCGTGTGTCTTTCACTCACACTCCTAGAGAAATGACAGGGATTGATCGAGAGACCCATTCAATAATGCTGGAATTCGGAGACGTTGAGAGAGGAATTCAAACATCTCTAATTATTCTTCCTCGATAATTTTCCCCTCATTTCGGGGAAGATATTTTTAAACTTTATATCATTAATCATTTTAATGACACGCCTTAGATATACGCTCCACTGAAGGGGCTGTTGGTTTATTTTTACATCTGAGTGATGGAAACACGTGTTGTATGATTCAACACACTATATCTTTCCGGTCAGAGAAGCAACGCATAAATAATTCCCCTCGATTTATCCATTCTGAATGAAATTTTTTCGGCACGTCGACTCTTTATTTTAAAAGAAGGAAGTCAGAGAACGTTTCTTTGAGCTTATTACGAAACGTAAGTCAAATATTATTTTATTACAATTGTAAAGATATTAGTTTTATGCATTCTGTATGCTATGAAAATGGATCAAACTAAATGACCGTCGATGGTTCGGATTTGTTTAAATCTAGAGAATTTCTCAGAAAATGCTAGGGAATCTTTTTATTATTAATGAGACAGCAGGTTTGGATCTAATCTCCGTTTGTGATGTTGCAAACTCCCTATCATAATTCATTTTCTGTTCGGGAAAGCAGTCAAAGTAATGTCTTGATAACTGTCTTGATTTTTCTTCTCTGATATCAAAATATTCTGTGTTAAATATCAAGCTATAAAGGTGGATTGTTCCTTTTCGTAAGAACAAAATATGAGCAGAAATTGTGAAATACTGCAATTGAGGTGACTGGTTTCACGCTCTGGCCATCGATATACGTATTCTGCCGTGCTAAGGAAAAACGCCGTATGAACCTTTAGGTGTTGCCAAATTTCCTTCGATAAAATACGAATTTCCTGCGGTAAACTTATGAATATTTTCTTTCCAATTTTTCAGATACTTTTGCTCGCAATTTCACCTAAATTTCCTGAAAATTTCAAGGAAAAGTATTCATAACTCTCCTCAAAAATGAACATTTTATCGAAGAAAATTTGGCAACTCTCGAATGTTCATACGGCGTTCTTCCTTAGCACGGCAGAATAGGAGGCGCGCCCGCGTGCCCCACAAATAGCGCCTTCGACATCTCAGTGATACTTCCAACGCTACACCGTAACACGTATACATTCTGCTGTGCTTATTGCCTACACTGCGTCTGCCGAAGTGCACACCGTGTTTTAAAGCGTACA